CCCATATCTCAATTGTCGATACATGCCTCTTTTACAAGAATCAAAAAGTTATAAATCAGTTGCTCTGTCAATGTTGACTCGGACAATCACCTCATGTTCTGTTATTACATTCAAAGCAGGATAGGATGACGATGGTAGTTTTACTTAAGATCGTGGTGCAATTTAAAATTGAGATATGATGAAATTGGAGAAACTGGGCAATTTTTTTTGAGCCAGAGAGAAATAGGGGAAATGATTTGAAAGGAACCACATGATCCCCATTCACTATTCTTTCGTTTTCGTTTGCGGATACACACCTAGAGTAGGCTGGACAAGTACAAGCTTGATTCATCACCAGCCCACCTGCTCGCGCAATAAGATAACTGAACAGATTACCAAAGCTATGATTTTTCACTAATGTTTTTTTAAGACCGGTTTACCAAAATTATTCGGTAATTTCATTCGTACATTACTTGCTGATGTAACAAGATACTTGTTAAAAATATGTCTCGAGTTTGAGCCCGAAACGAAAATCTGAATATTTTGAATTGGATATTTTGCGGCTATCCAAAATCGAGCAAAAGATGGAAATACAAAAATCAACTTCCGAATAGTCCGAAAGCGCGTTGGAAAATTTGGCTACTGGAATAGGAAAGTTGATCGTTGACTTTGACTGGGATCAACATGTCAGACACAGAAGGAAATAAAATTCCTTCTGGAGTCAGCCAACGCAACGAAATAGGAAAGTCCAAACTTGGACTTGTTGACCGAATCGTGAATTATCTTCTCTACATTGCGTCGGCCTCCGTGTGTTCTTTTGCTACGTAATATATATTGCAAGGAACGTAGTGGCAGATGCTGTCTTGAAGCGCCTAATGCGAGTGCTTGGTGTGCCGTACAAGTGAACCAGAAGCTATTGTGCACTAAGAAGGAAGCGCCGCATTCGTGAGTGCTTGGCGGTGGGTGTTTCCATAGATTCTCGTTCGTGAATTACATCCAAGAAGAATTAGTGTTCAAGCGTAAATCTTGTGATAAGATTTGTGTATAATTCTTTTGCGAGATTGAGAGATTATTTCGTGAGGAATTGTGGGGCTAAACACTGTGTGAGTTATTGGGTGTAATTGGGGCTTGGGAAACACTGAGAGTGTTTGAGTGATTCGAGTGTGGTTGTAATCTCCGTTGTATCGCTTAATCTATAGTGGAATTCCGTGCTGCTCTCCCCGTGGATGTAGGTCACTACGACCGAACCACGTAAATTTGGTGTCCGATTTATTTTCTTATTCTATCAATTTTATTGTTCGATCGCTTGGCTTCCGCAACAATTGGTATCAGAGCTAGGCTTACTTAAGTTGAAGCGAATCGATGGCGATAGAAGAAGGAAAAGTGAAAATCAACAGATTTGATGGGAAGGATTTTGGTTTCTGGAAGATGCAGATTGAGGATCATCTATATCAGATGAAATTGCACTTGCCCTTGTCCGGGGAGAAGCCAGAGACGATGAAGCAAGCTAATTGGGAATTGCTGGATAGACGAGCTTTGGGTGTTATTCGGCTGACGTTGGCACGTAATGTCGCGTTTAACATCGTGAAAGAGACAACCACTGCGGGTTTGATGAAAGCCCTGTCGGACATGTACGAGAAGCCTTCTGCGATCAACAAAGTCTATTTGATGCGACGTCTGTTTAATTTGAAGATGAGCGAAGGTGCATCAGTTGCTGATCATATTAATGAATTCAATGTGATCGTTAGTCAATTGAGTTCAGTTGAGATTGGCTTTGAAGATGAGGTACGTGCTTTGATTCTATTATCCTCATTGCCTAATAGTTGGAATACTACTGTTACTTCTGTTAGTAATTCCTCTGGGTCAACAAGTTTGACGTTTGATGATGTTCGAGATTTAATTCTGAGTGAGGATATCCGTAGAAGAGAATCTAGCGAACATGTATCTACTGCTTTAGTAGGTGAAAATAGAGGAAGAACTGGTACACGTATTAGCAGGAGTAGTATGAACTCGAATAGACGAAGTCAGTTTAGGACTGGTGGTGTTATCTGTTGGAGTTGTGGCAAGAGGGGGCATATTAGAAGGGATTGCCTTAAGCTGAAAAACGACAAGGGTAAGGGAATTAGAGTTGATCCTGCGGATGATGTTGCAGCTATAGCTGATGGTAATTCGGATGATGCTGATTATGTCTTGTCTGTCACTGATAATTCGTCGTTTGGCGGATGGATTATGGATTCCGGTTGTTCTTTTCACGCTACACCAAACAGGAACTGGTTTACTACTTATCAGTGCACGAATAGTAGTAAAGTGCAGTTGGGGAACAATTCTGAATGCGATGTTATTGGTGTTGGTAATGTTAGAATCAGAATGCATGATGGTATTGTGTGGACATTGACTGGAGTGAGGCATGTTCCAGAGTTGAAGAAAAATCTGATTTCCTTGAGTGCCCTGGATTCAGCTGGGTGTCAGTATTCTTCAGAATGTGGACTTCTGAAAGTTGTTCGAGGTGCCTTGGTGATAATGAAAGGAATCAAGCATAGTGGCCTGTATGAGCTTCAAGGTGAGACAGTGACGGAATTTGCTGCGGAGACGTCGGATGCATCAGTTCGAGAGTCTGAATTGTGGCATATGCGTTTGGGGCACATTAGCGAGAGAAGCCTGAAGGTTCTAAGTGAAAGAAATTTGCTATGTGGTTATGTGGCTAACGAACTGAATGTATGCAGGTGCTGTGATATAGATCAATGGCGGAAAGTGCAGTTTAGTACGGTTGTCAAAGAAACCACGGATATTGCAGAATTAATTCACTTGGATGTTCGCAGGTTGTCGCGATTTCCTTCGAGGAAGAGTGTCAGATTTATGCTAACAGTTGTTGATGACTACTCGAGGAAGACTTGGGTGTTTGTGCTAAGGCACAAGTTTGATGCTGTTGTCAGGATCAGGCAGTTAAAAGCTTTGATCGAAAAGGAGACTGGTAAAACGATCAAGCAGGTGCGGACTGACAGTAGTATGGAGTTTTGCTCGAAGCTGTTAAACGAATTCTGCATGAAGGAAGGCATAGTGAAACACTGCACTAGTGCCAATAAATCACAATATGTTGCAGAGTTGATGAGCAAAACATTACTAGAGATGGCCCATAAAATGCTCTTTAGTGCTGGTATGGCTAGGAGATTCCTGGCGGATGCGCTTAGTACGGCGAGCTACCTGAAGAATAGATCCCCATCGACTGCGATTGAATGTCGGACTCCCGAAGAAGTGTGGTCAGGTAACGTTGCTGATTATTCTGTTCTTAGAATATTTGGTTGTCCATGTTATGTTCGAGTTAGTGATGGTAAGCTCGATGGAAGGACAATGAAGTGCATGTTCCTAGGTTATGCACAAGGTGAGCGGGGCTATAAGTTGTGGTGCCCGGAATTAAATTCATCTATTATCAGCAGAGAAGTTACATTTGACGAGTCTTCAGTACTTCTGGCTAGGAGTGTTAATAGCAGTGTTCATACGGATCTGGACGGTGTTCAGCTTGAGGTAGAGTTGCAACCAGAAACTCCTGAGGTAGCGGGTACTAACGAAATAATCGACACGGATGGTGCTTATAGCGAGGTGGAGTCTATTGAGCCAACGGTTGCTGTAACTGCTGAAATTGACAAGGTGCGTATTCGATCTCCGAATAGATATGGATGCAACGATGGTTTTGCTTTATCTGCGGTTAAGGAGATTGTGTCGGAAAATCCTTGTAAAGCAGTTAAAGGTGCACGTGGAGTTGGTATTCTGATGAGGTCCACGGCTATGGCGAAGTTCAAGCGAGGCTTGGACTTGAAAGACATCTGTGGCGGTTGAGCCCATCGGGGGCTGTGGGAGAGTAGTAGCGAAATTCGGATTCTATCAAAGCGATTGTTACTTAGCTCAAACGTCGAGTCAAGGTGGAGATTGTTAAAAATATGTCTCGAGTTTGAGCCCGAAACGAAAATCTGAATATTTTGAATTGGATATTTTGCGGCTATCCAAAATCGAGCAAAAGATGGAAATACAAAAATCAACTTCCGAATAGTCCGAAAGCGCGTTGGAAAATTTGGCTACTGGAATAGGAAAGTTGATCGTTGACTTTGACTGGGATCAACATGTCAGACACAGAAGGAAATAAAATTCCTTCTGGAGTCAGCCAACGCAACGAAATAGGAAAGTCCAAACTTGGACTTGTTGACCGAATCGTGAATTATCTTCTCTACATTGCGTCGGCCTCCGTGTGTTCTTTTGCTACGTAATATATATTGCAAGGAACGTAGTGGCAGATGCTGTCTTGAAGCGCCTAATGCGAGTGCTTGGTGTGCCGTACAAGTGAACCAGAAGCTATTGTGCACTAAGAAGGAAGCGCCGCATTCGTGAGTGCTTGGCGGTGGGTGTTTCCATAGATTCTCGTTCGTGAATTACATCCAAAAAGAATTAGTGTTCAAGCGTAAATCTTGTGATAAGATTTGTGTATAATTCTTTTGCGAGATTGAGAGATTATTTCGTGAGGAATTGTGGGGCTAAATACTGTGTGAGTTATTGAGTGTAATTGGGGCTTGGGAAACACTGAGAGTGTTTGAGTGATTCGAGTGTGGTTGTAATCTCCGTTGTATCGCTTGATCTATAGTGGAATTCTGTGCTGCTCTCCCCGTGGACGTAGGTCACTACGACCGAACCACGTAAATCTGGTGTCCGATTTATTTTCTTATTCTATCAATTTTATTGTTCGATCGCTTGGCTTCCGCAACAGTACTCATGCCTAGTGCATGGCCGAACAACGGCGGCCATTTGTGCATGTCATGTATTTTACGTCATCACATGGTATTAGCACACGAACCAAGCCGATTGAGATTTAGGTCCTTAAATCCACGCAAAAAAAGTTTTTTTTCCCTACTATAAAAAGAGTACAATTTGCACAAAAATGTCATTGCCACTGAGAGAAATCAAATGTCTTTGATCATGAATGCGACGTTCTAAATAAATGCTAATCGGTCCCAGCCTCCAAAGGTCATGGGCAACATGAAACGATAGATGTCGGATTTCATGTGCATATGGGACAGAATAAAACTGAACAGACATCAAGACATTTGCCTTGAAGGTTGAAGTCCGCGGATAAATGACCGTAGGTGGAGGTGACAAATGCAACATAAAATGACATGATGCCAAGATCCAAAATGTGTGAGGACAAAGTCAGACACAAGGACTTGCGTGTCCTGAAATTTACATGGACTTATCCTGCGGAACAAACTGCTTATCCGAGCTTTAAGTAATTTTTTTGATACCTTGACACTGTCACAAATTACCTCAGCAGAAAATATTAACACAAATTAGAACACCAGAAATTTGCCACCGATGAGTATAGATAATGGAAACAACTGACAAGGAAAAGTTAAACTGAATTGATTGGAGTTTGAAAATGACGTAATCATTCTAGAATGTGATTTTAGGAAATGAACATCTCAAAAACCTTTTGACCCCTTCCTTTTTAATATACACCGATTAACTTAAAATGGTTTCCAAAAGACAAAACAGAAAAGCTTTTTACGGCAAGGGATCTATTTGGGTTAGTACAAATGAAAAAACTACAAGCAATTTCAACACCATCTCCATTCTCCAATAGTTCTAAACTGCAGGTTCTGTCCATAAAGCAAGTGACTCTTGTAGGATCTATCGGCACTGCTCTTTTTTTCTTGGCAGGAAGCCAGGAACGAGTTGTGACAGAATAAAAGTGCAGAAACATACCTATACCGATACCTCACCCAGCAAAGCACATCAACTTAATACTGAAAAACAAAAGAGGGGGGGAAAAAGAAGTGCATTAAAATGGCAGCTTTGTTGCATGCTGGACTAGTTAAATTGGCACGAGCACTAACGTATAGTCAAGTAGGATGAAAAACGAGAAAAGAAAAAATGACAAAGGACACTTAAAGCAAGCAAGACACAAGTCCAAGTATTTGAAGGAACACAGGACAAAATATCTCAAGCATTGGAAAGCACAATCTCTTACCCGTAAAACTCAGAGAGCAAGGTTATCATAGTTAAACAGGAAACATAATGCTGTTGATCTTCAAACTATGGTGGGTTGATCGAACACAGAGTTCATCACCATCCTTGTTATCATCATCCTCATCTTCATTGGCCTCAACCCAATTACTTGGATGACGTTGTGAAAAACCATGTCCATCTAGACAACAAAAGAATGAAGAAAACTGCTTTAGAGGGATTATCCAATTCAACTACTAACATAACTGCACAAACGTACTTATGATGGCGCTAACGAGTGCTATGTTAGTGACAATCTTGATCAGTACCTTAGCTTCTAAAAACATTTAGAACTACTAACAAACGACATGATACGAGCAGCCTAATCGACTCGATACTGAGAAGACCAAAAAAGGCATGTGAGTTCAGTCTTCCAGAAATAGGTACTTGCACAGGTATGTGCAACATATCATCAGGGCTCACGGTTGAGTAAAAAGCTGAAAAAAGTTTTGCTTCACCTTGTCCATGGTATCATGTGGACAGTCGCACTAAAGAGTGGAAAAAAAGAAATGCCGACAGATTTGGTAGGACATATATAAATTTCTGCCAGAAACTTATGCTTCTTGATGCAAGAATAAAGAGTAAAATTTTGCAAGACTCCGAGATAAAGTCACGCAAGCAATTGGCCTCAGCTGCATTCTTTCTTGCAAAGCAGCATTTACAGTAGGGAAACAGGCGATTGAGAAAGTAGCAACTTTACTAAGAAATATTTGTAGGAGACAACAAAATAATGCGACCTAGAGAGATAAAGATGATGTTCATCATACACACACAAACTGAGAGAGACATTGAGAGATGAAGATTCCGGACCAGTTTGGATGTTTCCTTCAGATGATGTAGCTTCTGATAATTGAATGGTGCTAATCCTTTCGATTCTCGACTGACCACCGGCTTTTAAGATCCTTTCGTCTGGAACTCGCCTTCCATCAGAACCACCACCATTTTTCGCAGCACTTCCTGCCCAAAGTTAGTAAACCACTCAAATCTTGATTACCAAAAAATAACTTCCTATTGACTTCCTAAAAAGTATCTTCCTGATGACATACACAGCATTTCATTTTAGAGCGAAGCAAATTCAATTTCTTTGCCATCATTGAGATGATAGTGCTACAAGGATCACTCACCCGAGAGTTCAGACCATATTCTGGTATGATTAGATGGAATCTCGGAAGCACTTGTTCTATTCCTCTCTGGCTGTTCTCCAGAAGCTTCCCCAGTATCAGCCTGGCCCGGCATTTCATTTGCCGAAGGTCCAGTATTACCTTCATGTAATTGTGATATAAGCATGGTGGCCAGTACGAGTATAGCATCAAAATTGGAAGAGGCCCCTTCATCAAATGCTGAATTTTGGGGGCCATCAAAATAGGCCTGTTTCATAAAAACATGCAGTTGTATCAAGTTCTTTTCTTTTTTCTATTTTGCATTCAGTTGCACTTACGCCCCTCTGTGATGGCAGAGATGTTGCACTTAGTACCAAAAAGAAAAGTCAAAAGACATACATTAACCATCAAATTTTGCATTGATGTTTTTATCTGGCATACTTTACTAGCATCTTGCATTAAACTTGATAAATAAACCATTTACCATCCGAACTTAAACTTCCTTAAACTATTATTATCCAAACTTGATTCGAAGGTGCACTATGTTTTGTCAACCAACCTTTCAATGATAGTCTCTTGTTTTTTGACATTTAGCCCAAAAGTAAAATTGGCATGGGCCTTTACGATTTTCATCATGAAGATATGTATTAGCATGTTTTAGATCTCTGAGCAGATTAACTAGCAATCATTCATCCATAAAACCACTTATGGACTGATTGCGTGAAAACTACACATTGCATCTGAGCTACTTGCATAAACAAAATTGAAGTGAAGCGTGGAACAAAACTGGGTAGAAGGTAAGATACAAAAGAGCACTTAGAATTTACTTACTCGCCGGCCTTCTCAAAGTACAAATCAATGTCCACTTCACATCCCTCACAGAATGCAGGAAATGCCTGGATTTCCATGACATGGACAAAGGTTAAAAATCATCATGTTCACTGGAAAACACAAGGAAAAACTTCAACATAAATGATGGTCCTGAATGTGACTCCAATAGCATTTTGGCAATTAGGTGGACTCGTTTTAAGGAAATGGAAATAAATTCGATAATGAAGTCATATGTCCAAGAACTTTTAGCTGCATTTATGACCCAAATATCTTGATATCTGATATAATAAAAAAACAAATCAGATTGAATACCTTCAACTCTTTGACAGCAAAAGTCACGTCTACTGGGTTGCTGCTATGAGCATACTGCACAAACTCTTCCGCAGGGTCTATCCACAGCTGAGTGTGCAGCAAAGAGTCGTTCTCTGCAACCAGAATCTGAACCATGATATTCTTCTCCATGTTCGGTTGAAAAGAGTAAAGTTCATGTCTACCTTTGGTAGAATCAATGTAGCTTCGGGACTCAACAGCTTTCCCACCAAATTCACTAGCAGCATCAGAAGGTTCGGAGTTGCGCTCAGTTGCAATGATAGTGGTTTCCTGAAGAGATGACTGAAAATTTGCAAGCAATCTGTTCAGATCATGTGGCCTCACTACAAAATTGCTTGGGTATCTTTTCCGATCCAGAGGTAATTGATGTACGTCGCGGTCAACATTGCAAGTAATCCAGTATGTTTTCTTAATGCCTGCATACATAAGACAAGAACTTGGCTTAAAATTCATCACATATGCATGAAAAAAAAAACTCACAATTGGCGCAGTGAAAATTCCCCGTCTCTTTATTCTGAATACTTTGGCTTTATGGGTCTTCTTGGGGCACTGCGAAATCCGTTGGACAGAGTTCACGCTGCTTTTGCATGATGAGAGATCATAGAAGCTCATCTCCATGGACACACATCAGGTGACTTATAAATTCTTATCCCAGCATTTTGCATATATTTTCTCTCAAACATGTCAGTTTCAAGACTTATAGAGTGTTGCAAAACTCCATCCAGCACCATCTAAGTAACTAGACAAACCAGGAAAGCATTATTCAGACAGAACAGCAGAACCCACAGAAGGCGGTTATCCACAAGGTGTTTTTTCCTAAGGTTTCCCCATTTCTGCGAGCAGCACTCGTAGTGGTAGTTCCCTTGGCTATAGCTGGGAATCGCCATGGTGACTTTGAATCACCCTATCGACAGTATTAGATTCTTTTCAGATATATGCACGTCAAGTTCTAATCATCGTCGACAGGGCCAATCGCAACCTAGGTCAGCAATCTTCTGCCTCAAATCCACCGCAGAAAGCTCCACGCACTCGGCAATCGGTGGAAGGACTCTCAAATGTGTCAATCGGACACTGTATCGAGCGAAACGAGCCAATTACCTAACAACAGCATAGCATAGCATCTAAACTAAGCATCACTCACCACCAGGACACGAAGAAGCAACTACTTAGCTTTTCACCTGGGAAGGAGAAGCTCGGCTAGCGAGGTCGTTGCCGAGACGCGGGAGAGACGAGTGATGGCGCGAGCCAAGGTCTTCAAGGCGTTGCCGCTGTGGTTGAACTCCTATCTTTTGAGTTCTTCGCTTCCCTCTCTGCGCTGACGGTCCAGATAATTGGCGGGATTGGAAGAAGAAGAGGAAACAGTTGGTCTTTTGGCTCAGTTATCAAAATATACGAGCTTTTATCTTTCATAATAGAATTGATACATAATAGCATCATTTTTAGATTTTACAATAATATAATTCTTACTATTTTCACTCTCTATAAAAAAAAAATTACCATATTTGGTACCCTTTTCATTTTCGTCCTTTTTTGTGAGACGTAGTAAGTTCCTTTTTTTGGGCAGTTGGCAGAAGAAAATCAATGGACAGCCACTTGAACGGTGTATCCTAAGAAAGATACCAGGTATCCATATTACGTAAGCCCAGTGCTTGAGCTTTGCCGCATTTTATATGTCTGGTTTGGTAGCCCAATAAATATAACATGATGTAAAAATTAGTGATGCTGATAACAGAAAGGAGAATAAACACATGTGGAAATGTATTTATCAATCAACACATATTGAAAAGAGAATTAACGCATGTCAAAATACGTTTATCAATATATGTCCATGTAGAGCGGGGCCCACACAACTAGTTCTCATTATCATAAAAGGTGATTGGATTATCGTAATGCATGTTATATTAAATTTGATGCCCAAATCCAATAACCCACAAAAACCCTATCAATTCTTTTTTTTTTCAAAAAGATAATATTAGTAGTAATTACAAAAATGGTCATTATATTATATTGTCGCTATTTAATTTTGGCCCTTATATATTATTTTACGACAAATTTAGTCCCTAAACTGATTCCACGTCACAATCTTAGGACAAATCTGTATTTTTCCGTTCAAATGTGGACTGAGAGTGCTAATTAAACACCAAGATGTCTGACCAAAAAAAAAACACTGGAGATGAACACATGGCATTGACATGTAAATTACAACTCCAAACTTGATGGAAAATTACAAAACGGGTCATGGCACTAGTACTCCCGTTCAATTTTGGTCCTCGTACTTTATTTTTGTCACATATTTTGGTCGGTGGGCTAATCTTTATTCTTGATTTTGAGGATGAATGTCGGTTCTTTTTGTCGTCTAAATGCAAACAAAAAATTTGGATTAAGGGCTAAAAATTAATATGTGGCATCAGCATGTTATAATAGTGCAAAACCCGGTGGAAACCCGCATGTTATTGCGGAAAGATAACTTAGTCATGTAGTTTGACATTTTAAAGAATCATAAATAGTTAGTTTTAAGTATGGTTCGATAGCTGTGTTCATTATCATTAAGTACAATTACAAAAATTATCTGTAATCGATAACATTCGTCATTATGAAAATACATTATATGCCACTTAATTTAATATTGATTTGTACGAAGTAATAGAAAAATGCTCTTGTGCTGTATATACCTTCTATAAATTATGCTATTAATAATGTGGGTCCACGCAAATATTTAAATATCCAATCGTTTCAATTAATTCTGCTTAAAATTCTAATATTTTGAGTAACTTCATAATTTTTTTTTCATTTTCTATGAAAGAATGTTCATTTTGAATTAATAGGAACCATTTTCGACCAAAACAAAAAAAGTAATAGGACCCCTAGAATTCAATAAAAACTAAATAACTCTAAAATAAAAAAACAAACCTGCAGATCTTTCTTTATATTTGTTGATTATTCCTCCTCTTCAAAAGATTAATCAACAAAGATAAATGAAAAGTTCATGTTTTCGTTATTATTGATAAATGAAAAGAACCTTAGATAGAAAAACTACAAAAATAAAATAAATATTATTAAAATGAGGTGTCGGGATTCCGGCCGGAACGAGGAATTTGATGAATCTTTGCAACTATTTTACTATATATATCAAAGACTAGATGGAGTATCACTGCATGAAAGACAAAAGGCAATGATGTCATAGTACAACGAACTACAGATTCAGTGCCGAGTACTAAAAATGCGATTAGAAAAATTAGAAGATAATTATATATATATAGAGAGAGAGAGAGAGAGAGAGAGAGAGAGAGATAGACTAGGAATTCAAATATTGCGGCCTCCCCTCCTGCTGACACGCGGACCGTCATATGAGTCCAAACTCTTGGGGTGATTTAGGACGAAGCTTTGGGGGTCATATGAGTGGGGTGAAGCTTTGGTGGTCATATGAGTCCAAACTCTTGAGGTGATTGGGGATCATATGAGTCCAAACTCTCGGAGTGATTTCGGACTAAGCTTTTGTTTCATATGACGAAGCTTTTTGATCTCTTGGTTACATGAGTCAATGGACAAGGCTTCGCAAAACTCCGAAGCAAAACAATTCATATAGTATTTTCTTTCTGCTCCCATCGGTCTATAAATAATGCTTTCTCTACTCGCAGCCTTCAAATTTCATATCACACAAGGAAGGAAGAGAGCATTCACACTCGGCTCGGAGATTAATGGCAAACAACAATCCAGCCTCCTTCAATTAGTTGGGGGACCGCGAATAAAATCATGCAATCTTGAGTTTCTTTCCAGAAAAAGAACTTGCTATCTCCAATCATGTCCTCTGTGTGTGTTCCATTACGTAAATGTTGTTTTAATCGGTAACAATCTTGTACTCTGCATAGATCAGTAAAACTCGTCCTTTAGTGCAGCATTCGGAAACCATTGTACAAGTACAAATCGCCCGGGTTTCTTTTTTTTGTTTGTTAATCCATCCATGCGTCTAATCTTGATCATATTGCTTGAGCTTTTCGAGAGACGGTTGTCTAACAAGTAGTTTGCTGATTTAATTTCCAAGAAATGGAGTAGAGCATGTGGCTCAAATTGCTGCGAAATATAACCCACGGCTTGACTCCCTGGCAGTGGCCTTGCGTCAACTTATTAGGGTCAGGCATAGCTTTGTAGGTCCAGCCAACACTGCCGGTGAACCCATCATTATGCCTATCGGCGAAGTGATCGAAATCGTCCGGCGGATATTAATCTCCAAGATGGGAAGGCAAGATATCGACTCAAAGTTTGTACTTGTGTACGCTCTCATCTCTGTTACTTTTGGATGTGTCAAGTGTGGCCCACTTGATGCACAATCTACTTAGCGACATGCCTTGGTTGATTTTCATTTCCTATGTCCTAATGTTAGTAATCCTATTCGTATTCGCGAATTAGAGGATCAATTAGCAAACGGCTATGGTTTCTGGATTTCTTGATGTGGTGATGTCTTGGTGGCCTTCCAATGTGGGTCCTGTTATAGATCTCATATTACATTATTATCTCGAACACCTTTTACACTACAAAGCAGAATATATATGATAATTGTAAACATATCCCATGTTGCTTTTTCACGGGATATATCAGAGTCGGATTCTACCCTAATTTATTTCGCGTGTGCGGTCTTTTCATTTGCCAAATTTCACTTTTTTATATACATACAATCTCCCTTTATGTATTTTTTGAGAGAACAATGCTGTGAATCTAATCGGCACTACGAGTCAGTTTTGCCAAAAGAGAATTGCTTAAATATTTAGTGGCAAAATTGAAGTAAATAGATCGGTGCTTTTGGGTTTAAATCTTTGATCATTTTGTCCATTCATCAACTTCCAAAGGAACGCATCAAATCTTTGGTAAATTAATGTTTAATCTGAAAACTGCCACTTCTAGTTCTTGGGGACTCCCAATCAGTGGCCATAGCGCACATAAACTATTCCAAAGACGTCATATGACGTAATTCAATTAGAAGAAGAGTGACATAGTAGTATATCTAAGAGTCCAAGTTATACTAACATGAACACATCAACAAGTCCAAGTTTATATTCAAGAAGAAATTCAATGCACGATATAATACCATGCTTTTAGTGTAAATCATAACTAATGAGTCTATGCATCATTGCAAGAGTATAACCTATAAGCGTATTGCAGAAACAAACTTTTGCAGAAACAGGCAGGGACGAAACTAGTATGTTTTCACATTGAGTGCATCAATACGATATTAATTATCACGGTGACAACTGCATGAAATTTATGCGTGATTCAATGCAAAACACGATATTAATTATCATGGGTCGTGATACCAGAAACAAAATTTTTGGCGGGGTCCAGACAACAAAAACAAACAACGTCGGTTTTGCAAAAGCTGCAGGTGCAATTCTTCATGCACGTGATGGAGGCTTCTTTAAGATATTCAAAAGGACTCGACAGTGAACTGAATTCTTTTTGCTCAGCTCAGTAATAAGTTTTGAAGGTATTAAAACTTACGGAGAGGGATTACTCTGGCCATGAATTTTACCTGAACTAATTTACCAAGTTAATATCATCAAACTTCTCCGATATAAATAGCACCCGAAGGTGCTTCTGTAGTCATTTTGACCAATTCTCAACTGTGGATACATGTAAATGAGGCATGAATCGACCATTGAGATATATTGAGATACTTGTGGCTGTAGAAATATCTTCTGGGATAAATAATCCACATCCAAAATAAAAGAAGATTAATGACCATTAGTAATAAATCTTACTATTTTAAGGATCTAAAATGACTTAAAACCCAAACCAAACAGTTTGGGTGTTCATTAACTTTGAACTGATCCGTGCCCTGAACCGAATATAACCCGAACCGATAACTCGGTTCGGTTTTTCGGTTTTCTTTTTTGAAATGTTAGAAAGAGATTTAGTGGGAAATGAGAGAGATTATATAAATTGCGATATTAAGAAGATGGACGATTTTCAGTTCTGTTCTGTTAACAGAATCGAAACTGTTCGAATTGGAATAAAAAATTAGTTATTTTTTCATTACCTAAACCAAAACCCGAACCGAACTGAAAATGCAAAAAAATTCGGTTTGGTTCGAATACGATAGGTTTCGCTTTTCCAGTTTCGTTCCGACACCCCTACTCAATATGCCTCCAGGT